TTGTAATTCTTTGGTCAAGATTGACAAGAGTCTTCATAATAAACTGAACACAAACAAGACTTTTTATTATAAAAACTGAACACAGACTTTTCATCCATTCATAACATAACGTTAAAAAAACTGAACACAGACTTTTCATCCATTCATAACATAACGTTAAATAATGCAATACAATGTCTTATCTTTCTTCTAGTGAATCAATTTAGGTAAGTTTATCTTTAAAATATTATTACTTTTAATTTACCATATTTAATATATTTAGAAGAATTACAAAATAATAATGAAAAATGTTCATATTGTGAAAAAATTTATACCAAATCCATTACCAATAAAAGTGTCAAGATATTTAAATGATATTAAGATTAAAGTATTATATTATTAATATTTGTTTAAAAAAAGAATTATTTCTTATTTTTATGACCAATACTGTAATAGAAAAATTATGAGTTTTGTAGAATTCATAATGGAATAATAATTTATTAATTTATTAAATAGAATTATTAATATGAATGAAATATGAATTGTTATTAAAAATTATCAAGGGGCAAACTAATTAATGAAATGGATATATCATCCATTAATGCAAATGAATTATTTCGAATCTTTACGGGAAAGTTTAATTTTAATAATTTTAATAAAATTAATATTTTTTAGCCTGCTTTAAGGATTTAGCAATTATTTAAAATTTTAGCAGACCTTTGTACCAGCATTTCAATATATAGTTCAAATACTTGCCCCAGAAACAGCTATCATACTTATTACGGAAGATTATAAAAATATTTCTTTATATGCTGCAAAAGAAATAATAATTGATAATGTAAATTTTGGATTATATGTACAGTTATGAAGAAAGATAGTGAATTGTACATTTTGATTGATTGAAATTATTAATATCCGTACAAACGATAAACGAATTATGATATAACATAGTACACGGTTAAAAAGTACCTCGATATAACGATTTTTTTCAGAATAACGAATATAAATAGTATCAAATATAGTAAATGATAAAATTATAAATAAATTGATTTATTGATTTTCGTTATACCATTAACGAATTAAAGGCCAGCCATACATATTAAGAAAAAATAATCGCATTCTAAATTAATCTAATCATTTTCGAGAAGATAAAAAATTAAATAAAAAATTTTTCAATATTAAGACCTTGGTGATTTCGCAGAATCAAGAATTTCATTCCCGTGAAGAATCGATAAATCTAAACCAATTAGCTGATCAATTCAGTGAAGGATGCTTTTACAGTTGCAATTTGAAAAAAGTAGTCATCAGGTGTATTTTCTTCGATGCCGACTTGAGTGAATGTAATTTTGCCGCCGAACTTTGGTAATAAGACAGTAACTTTATCACAACAGCACGAGATAAGGGAGATGCGTGAGTGAATTTAAGACATATTAAAAATAAACTGCCAAAAAGTGAAAATTTTTCTTTTGAAGTTTTATTAATTGACTAATTGAACAATTGATTTGTAAGTTGTAATTTTATTTCTCTAGAGGAAACAAAAAAATCCACTCTTTATATTTCTTCGTCTAACGCTTCTAATGTGCTTTCCTGAAAGACTTCCTAATTCAATTTTTTTATTCACTTTCGTAAATAATAAACAAAAATTTTTGTATCAAAAAAATGTGGATGTAATATTTTACCTAATTCGATAAAACCATCAAAAAAAAAACAAATTAACAGATATATAAAAGCGATCGTAAATCTTGAAGATGATTAGAATTTTATATTCAATAATTGAATAATTGATTGATTATATTATTTAACTGTAAGAATTACAATCTTGACCTTCGTGATATTATCTTGCACGAATTTTTTTTATCTTTCGTACATTTTTAAAAAATGATACTGAATGTAAATTTCTGCCAACTCCAATAAAAGTTACGTGTGTCATGCTTGTGAGTACGACGAAAATCACATTAATTTTATATTTTCTCGAAAATCTACCTAACGAAAAAACAAAGCAAGACAAGAATTTATTACTTCACAAAATTATCAAGTAAATTTACGAATTTGAAGGCTTGTTAATTATAATTATAGTTATAATTTAACTTAAAACAAACATTATGCTCACCTTATCGGTTCACAACGGATGTATATATAATAATTAAATAAGTGAAGTATTGAGAAGAGCTAATTACAGATTACCCTTAAAAAAAGTTAGGTGAAAAATAAAGGAACTATATATGTTATTGATTGTTTTTAATTGGGCTTTTGTTTTAATTCTCTAAAAAGACTATTAATGAATATCTCTACATTTCAGGAAAATGGTTCAAGCAATTTTTATATCATATAAAGAAAAATTAACGAGTCAAAAAAACAAAATTCTCAAGGAAAGCGAAATCCTGGAAAGGAATAATTTGAATCAAATTTTAATTTTCCATAGTAACCAACTCTTTTCCCAATTCAAAAATATCTTTATTACTTAGATTATTATTTATTTTTTTTATGCGCAGGCCATTTTTACCAATTTTTTATTATCATCAACACAGATTGGGATTATTTTCTCAATTTATCCTTTATTTCAGCTATGATTTTAGAGGAAACAGGTATCAACATGATATTAAATTATTTTGGGAAGGTATCAATGAAGCATATATCAACTTCAACTTTACCCGAAGAGTTTTTTTGTCAGTTAAAACAACACATATAAAAAGCATAAACAGCAAGATCAATGATAACATTGTGTAAAGGCTAAAACTTGAAATTATTATTATTTATTTTACTAAAAAATACAAACAAATTTTTTTTTGTAACAGTGAAATAAAATACAAAAAGAATTAAGACGAAAAAGCAGATTTATCATCTTCAGTAATTAGCAAACAATATAAGTAATAATTGTGTTAAAATGAAAGAAATTGTAATCAAAATATGTCTGGGGAATTATTTTTTGATCTTGATTAAATTAGCGAAGATTCAAATCAAATAAGTAAGTATTGAATATTAAATATTTTAATTGTATATAACAGATAAAGTCAAAAAAATAAAAACAATCATTCAATAAATTTATTTTAATAATTGTTTATTTCTTATGATATGTGATAAACGTTAAATATAGACTTTAAAATTAAATAAAGATACCTAATAATATTTAAAACAATCTTTATTGCATGGTACTGACATGACATACTACAATTTACAATACAAGAAATTATTTACCCATTAACTAAAACCTTTATTAAGAACTTATAATTGTCATAGCATTTACAAGTGAAAAAAAAATAAAAGGAATATGCTATAAAATTTGAACTGTATAGTTTCTTTGCATTATTTATTCTTCAAGTTCTATTTAAACGGAAATAAATTAGCTTGAAAAATGTTACAAACCAAGTTTGTCCTATAAAAGTTTTCTTTACCAGTCACTTTAATTGAGTTAATAGAATACTATGGTAGGATGGTTCAAAACAAAGAAGTACGTACTGTATATAATACGTTTCTTTGCGAAAAATTTATAAATAATTAGGCCAGACTTTTGTCATGATACAAATTGGGATCATCGTAATATATAAAATACAAGATATTTAATGCAAAAACTTTATTAAGAAAAATAAATTAAATAATTATATTATAGATAGACTAATCAATAGACTAATAAAAATAAAAATAAATTAAATGAGCATATTTCTAAATTAATCTAACCATATATAAAAAAATGTTAAGCAGATTTGATTATTCCAGAAGCAATTACGTCATCATCGTGAAGAATTTCGTATTCTACACCAATTATTTGTTTAACTAGTCCTTGGCCAGTCGATTTCCAGGGTTTAGTACCAGGTGGTACTATTTTAATTCCCACATCTTTGAAGGATTTTTTTGCCAAAGGTCCAAGTTTAACAAAGTATCTTTCAGGTGTATTTTCAGTAATGCCTTTTTTGAATATCCCATCAGCTTCTATATTCGTTTCGCTGACTTGAGTGAATGTAACTTTGCCGTCGACACCTTCTAATTCGACAACAGCTTTATCACCAACATCACGAGGTAAGGGAGATGCGTGAGAGAATACAAGACAGATTAAAAATAAAGCTGCCAAAAAAGTGAAAATTTTGCTTTTTGTCATCATTTTGGATAATTTTTTGAAGTTTTATTAATTGAGTAATTGATTTGTAAATTGTAATTTGATTTCTCCAGAGGAAACAAAAAAATTCCACCCTTTTTATATTTATTTGACGTCTAACATGCTTTCCAGAAATACTTCCTAATTCGATTTTTTTATTCGCCTTCATATATGATAAGAATTGAAAAAAAATAGAACTTAATAAAGATCTTCACTAAATAAAAAAAAAAATCGAAAATCACAATTAAGAAAAAATTTACATAAACAGATGATTTTCTTCATAGTTTTACAATATAAAATATAACTTGGTTATTCGCAAAAACTTTAAAGATATAAAGCCTGAATTTAGGAAAAAACTTTATTAAGAAAAAATAAATGAGGAATTTTATTTTCACAATCGGGAATTTATAATTAAATTTCATGTGATTAAAATTAAATAATTTTCATAATTTTGGCATTGATGATCATTTATTGTGTTTGAGCATATTTCTAACCATTTTCGAGATGATGAAAAAAGGCAGACATTTAGGCCTTGGTGATTTTCCAGAATCAAGAACTCATTACGAAGAATCGAAAAATCTAAACCAATTAAGTCACTAATTAGTATAAGAATAACCGATTCTATTTTTAATTCCCAAATCAGTGAAGGATACTTTTGCAATTTGAGTAAAGTAGTTATCGAATGTATTTTCTTCGATGTCTTTATTGAATTTCCCTTCAGCTTTTACATGTGAATCGTCGACTTGAGTGAATGTAACTAAGCCGTCGAGTTTTGATAATGTGGCAGTAGGTAAGAGAGATGCGTGAGAGAATGAAAGACAGATTAAAAATAAAGCTGCCAAAAAAAGAGATTTCTCCAGAGGAAACCTCATTTTACGCCTAACATGCTTTCTAGAAAACCTTCCTAATTCAATGTTTTTATTCGCTTTCGTATATAATAAACATAAAATTTTCGTATCAAAGAGTGATATATAAAAATAGAAATCCTTTTCGGATAACTGTTTTTTTGGTCGATTAAATTCGTGCTTTTCTTAATAATTTTTAATAATTTATTAATAAGGATATAGAATAAAATTTTCCTTAATTGTGATCTTCGATTAATTAATGTTAAATGGTTTAATTTTTAAATCATATTCAGAAAAGCATAATGTTGTATGTAGAAGCGCAATTAATAGTGAAAATATAAGGATAGTCACATTTCACTGAATACTTTTCTTTTTCTTCAAAATTTTAAAGATATGCAAAAGTTTTTAAAAATAGGTGGAAATATTATTATTCTATGATTTCAATATAAAGAGATGAATGATTATTTATAAATTCTATATAGTTCACATGTTTAAGCATATGGATCATATGAAACAACAGAAACAACCGAAGCAACCGAAAAAAATTTTAAAGTCTGAATTTAGGCAAAAACTTATTAAGAAAAAATAAATGAGGAAATTTTATTTTCATCAATTACAAGTTCTTTTTATTAAAATAAAAAAAAAAAAAAAAGCCAAAAATATTTTTCGGCAGCCTGATTTAATTTTAGCTGTTGAATTTACCGAATTAAGTCAACAGATGAAGAATTATAATAATAATAATTCAAAAAGAAAATACCCCAAGTTAGTATATCACAAACAATAATTGTATAATTTTGGCATTGATTGTACATTAACTATTCTGGCGACTTAATAATGTTTTTTGGCGGAATTAGCATATCATTTATATTGTTATTTTCAGTATAGATTTTTTTATAATCATAAGATCATTCAACAATTAAAGTTACTGACATAATTTCTTGCAATTCACTATCCATTATATCATTATTTTATCTTGTTTAAATATAACTTTAGAATAATAATTAGGTATTCAACATACTGTATATCGATGTTCGAGCATATCAAATGCGACTGCTATTTTTTATATGGTTTTGTTGTGGTCGTGCAGTGCGGAACCTCTATAATAGGAACTTAGAAAATCTTAATCCAATGCTCAGATTTCTTTTATATTATAGTATTTGATTGTATACATTTGGAGGAATCCATGAAAAAAAATTTCTTGGTTTATGTAAGCATCACATGATGCAATTTTAATCAATAAAAATATATTCACGTGTTTATATAAAACTATAAATTTCATTTTTTTATTCTTAAACTTTTGTCAATGGTATTTTAACAGATACAAAATATCTAAAATCATTAGAAATCCTTTTTTAAAGTAAAATTATAATAG